ACGAAAGGAGTACAAGTGAAAGAGAAAGACTGGGGGAGAGCGGAAAAACGGAGTTTTGGTTGGTGACGTTCAGAAGAATGGCCAACGACACAAATCACTCTCTTGGCCTTTGTCAAGGGGCGAGGGGAAAGCGGAGGAGAGATCTGGGGGCTGATTTTTCCGGATGCCGAAAGGAATATTGAGACCGTACTTTTTTGGAGAAGTTTTTTTCTTGTCTTTGGGGGAAAAAGAATGATGGGGGGAGGGGGAAGGTGAAATTTTGGGGATTGGTGAGAGGGGTAAGTCTTGAAAGAGGGATGAAGAGGGAGATTTGCGAGGTGAAAACGGGGAATTTCGGATTTTTGAACAGTAGAGTGAGCAAACACTCATGGAAAAATATATGAAAAATGTATATAATTGAGGCCAATATTTTCTTCGGATATGTATGAGATTTATGTAAAATATATACGAAACATATGTACATTCATATTTTATGTAACTTTTATATATAAATCAGGCCGATTCCATATATTAAATATATTTTTCAGAATATATATTTTTTCGTATGGAGAGTCCTTCGAATTGCTTGAATTTTTTGTTGATGTGTGAATATTCAGCGTTAGATTATGCTAAATTGAAAATTTATTGACAATGGGAGGATGTATTTATCTGAATTTCTGGTGTTTATAGTGATTTTTGGGGAATTATTGAACGGAATTTTACAGATTACATTGACTTTGCTATGAAATTATGGATTTTCAATCATGAAATTCCCTGAAATTTCAGTGGAACTGTAATGAGATCAGAATTTCCAAGAAGTGTAGTGGGCATTTCAGTCAAAAATTTTTAACAATGAATTGCACTGTTAGAAAAATAATAGAAATTTTATGGATAAACGACTTGTAATTTTACGGAGCGTGAAAGTGAATAAAATTTAGGAAGATAAAAACATGAAATTCTAGATTTCCCTGAGAAATAAATGAAATTGCCAATTCTTCAAATAACTTGAATTTTTAATTAACTGGAAACTCAAGAGTATATTCAACTGAGTTTTCCTCACTTTTATTCATTTTGAACTGAAACTGACGGTTCACAATCATTTCACCATAATATTTTGGATTTTTAATGAGGAATTTCTCTGAAATTTCAGTGCGGGGG